AAAGTTATGTCTCTCATCTGGAAGTGGATCGACCTTCAATGTATTACAAATTGACTTCAGATTATTTTGATGTGGTAAAATAAGCCAAACATCGCTCCTAATAAATTTATATGAATGTGGACTGATTGTATCCAACACTATTGTTTTTTGACAAGTAACTATATCTGTTAGTATGGTTGAAATTGTCATTTCCTGAGTATCAACTAGAAGCATCTACATATAAGAGCGTTCTGACATCACCATCCAAATGGTGTATATTAGATAACAAGAATAGAGTCTTAATATTACCCGAGTTGAGTGAAAGCTCTTGGGAGTACATGTTACATTGAGATATTTATCAGCAATTACATAGTGCGTTATAATAGGTGCTGGTTTATATTTTACCTTAAACAAAGTAAACTTATCCTGAACAACTGTATGCCACCCATCTGGAGATTTCCATTAACTGAAAGCCGTCCAAGTCTGAATAATTTTCGCAGCTTGTTGATTTTTGGTAGGAGGTATAATCATCAACGCTATTTTACAGTGCTTTAAGTAGTTCTTCTGTATTGTCCCTCAATTTTTCATCTCGGCTTCTTGGTGAAGGTACACGCAACATAACCATGTATTTAGAGGTTATTGCAGGTTTAACGTTCTGCTTCATTTGTCCTTTGAAAGGTATTTTGGGTAATTGGTGGACTCCCAAATGATACTGTCCTCAGCGAAGGGCAAATTGCATATTCTGGGTTTTTTTTGTAATCACTAAATCACTGCAAGGGATGGCATTGAGCCCGTTGTCATTCCCCGGGAACCGAAATACTTGTACCATCAACCTTACGCGTAATTACCGGCACAATTAGGAACGCGGCACTTGTAAGGCATTTCGAAAACAATTACGAGACACAAATATGACTTTAAATTAGCAACTTAAACTATACAAAGCAAAGAAATATAGTCATACATGTAAACAAGTCAGAATTTTAAGTTAGCTTCCTGTTAGCCACCTGTTGCATGTTGCCACATATTCCATTTTTGCATGAAATTTTTACACGAGAGAGATTGAACGTAATATCAAAACAGTATTCTTGACGTACTGGGGCAGACTAGAAAGAATAATCACATCATTATTGAATTCAATGTCATAATACTAAACAAAAACATATTAGAACGTAATATTTCCTGTTGCCCGTCTCAGAAAGAGAGGATCCTAGCTAGAACAAGCTTATCTTGAAATGACTATAAACGTGAGGTTCAGGATTGAATTTATTGCCACCATCAATACATTAACGGGCTCCTACAATCACGAGCACCATCTGCTGAGGTAACGGGGGGGTGAAAAGGAAACGATTGTGGGCTGGTCTTAGACGGTGGTCGGCGCTACTTTAAAAGAGGAAAGGATGACTGCGGATGCCTACCGAGGTAAAGTTTTATAATAACAGAGTCGGATTTCGATTAGCGATCTAGCCTGTAAATCGTTTCCTATTTTGGTCCTCAGCTAGTGATCATTTAGTATTGTTCTACCCGTGTTACTGGTCGTCGATATTGTGTTGTTGAATTGTTGTGTTGTACTCTTGTTGGTGTGATTGTTCATGAGCGAAGTTTTTATCAAGGTTGATAATGGACAATAAAAGGTCATATGCGACAATTTTAATTACGAATTCAGTGAGTTTAATTCATGATGAGGACAACAATAGTGTGGAGCAGTTCAACTCTATAATCGCAAAATATATTGGGGTAAGGGAACAAATTATTGCAAGAAGAGGTCATACCATGGAAGATGTGCTGCAGCTGTAGTGAGCCACAATACCGAGCGGCCTGTCTATGTGGTCCAAATACATTTGCGTTCTAAGCTTAGTCCAACCTCGCTTATCACTAAGATGGAACAAAGACTCAAATGCAAGAATCTTGGAAAGAAACTCAGACCAAAAAAAGTTGATATAAAAATAACTAATAATTCGGATAGCAATTCCAAAGAAAATATATAATGGTTTTATGGCGAATTCTGTCAAAAACCTGACATGAGCGACATTGATTTGGAGGATGATAAGCAAGAATTTTTAGGGAAATTTAGAAAAAGTGACGACGAGATTTTGCATATCGGACAAGTCACCAAAGCACAGGACTGTGCTTTATGGCGTCTTCATCGGAGGATAAGGTTGACAGCGTCTCGATTTGGTGAAGTTTGTAGATGAAGTCAGACAACAAGCTGTAAAGTTCTAGTAAACTCCATCATATACCCAACAGAGTTTTCTAGTAAGACATAAAAAAGGCAATACAAAAATCATTGGACACGGCAGTTATATCTTGTGGTTTGTTTATTGATCGCACACATCCATTTCTGGCAGAATCACCTCCGTCTACCTATTACAGTAGACAAGACATGTACTTAATCCAGGTAAAGCCTACCTGTTTATTGCTTTGCAAAAACTACCTGTTTCCTCTTATTTTGACGGCATAAGATATTTTAATGACCCTCGTTCAATTGTTACCATGTACCACACGATCCTTATAAACATAATTGTGTTTATTGACATGAATAAACGAATTAGAATTTGAGTTCTTGAATTTATTTTAGGAAAGATATAAAATTATTTGAATACATTTTTTCTTAGTCGGAACGCACCGTCGCGTCGCTTGGACTGGCAGAACGAAACAGTAGATGAATTTCGCCCAAAAACCGATTTGCACTTCACAGCTTACTTTTTATTATTTCCAAATGAAACTCTTGCAGCATGCTAAAAACAAAGTTCACAGGGTGCCAGCGATCCGCTTGTTCGATTTTATCCATTAGGATCTTTTTAAAATATCAAGAAGTTGAGCACAAATAATAGTGAGCATTTCAACCCACCATAATTCTTGCGCAAAGACAACATTTTGTAAAAAGCTCTGATAGGAGCCTAGGCAATTATGGCCTGCTTATATCCAGAAAAACATCACAAACTGCAGAACACAAAAGGTAACGGCAAAATGAGTAAATTTCACGAGTTATGAAATGCAAATGAAAATGCAGGTATAAAATCTACCAAATGATCGTTCAGAAAAACATATTTCCTTGACATATCGATAATTTTAAAGTTCCACGCTAAATTCCCCTATACTTGACTGGAGTGATATCCGAATTTATTTTTCCCTACTGTCGGTAGTTGCAGATCTGTTGGCTATTGGTGTCAAAAATATAGAGCAGGTACCGATTTTTTTAAATCGTGAGTACATTATTCGTCGGATTTTCGATACTTAAACTTTCTGTAATCACTGGGATCAGAAGCCTCTTAGTAAACGTGTTTCACTGATTTCAATGCCCCCTTTTTAAACAGTACAATTTTTTATGTCAATGATTAGGAACAACTGAAACGTCAAAAACGGAGTTTCAGCAATTGTTACTTTTTCTTTTTGCCTATAGTACCGTTGCCACTGGACTAAAACTACAAAGCCTTGGCATACTAGTAACAGCGTGTGGAAATTTCATAAAAATCCGAGCGGTAATTTCCCAGTTGATGATGAATGATACAGTTTTTCGTGATGTAGATGTCATATGACTTAAAAAACATAACATCTCATTTTAGAAATGTTTCGCGATTACAATACGTCCTCGCCAATAACGTTGGAAGTAAAACGGCTTTAAAATCGAGGAGTATCAGCGATCGCGATTATGAGTACCCATTTGCAGAACGACTTATCTACGCGATATTATTTATGAAATAGGGCCACCAAATTATCTGAATACGTCCTGTCCTTTCTTAGTCCGTACATTGCGCCGCAACGCTGGTTTGGCAGCACGAAAGAGTAGACAAAATTCGTCCAAAATACGATTTGAAGAGGTTACCGACATAGCAAGGGGCAGGCCGTCAGAAGTCAGCCTGGAAGTAATAAGTGAGGGTAGGGGGTTAAACATGCAAATTTTTTATGAACATTTTTTTATTAGGTACCGAGCTGAAAATTAGCACCAGCATAGGAGATGGTATTAGAAAGTATGGAAAAAATTGTCAGAAGCCTAGGTGGAAGATAAAGGGCCATCAGAAGTCACCAATGTTGCCAAAAATTTCGCCAAAATTTTATCACTAGGTACACTTCTGACATTTTGCGTAATTACTCTATAATCCAAGTTGAAATTACTTGCAAATCGTCAGAAGTCTAGGTGGAAGAATAACGGAGATATTATCAACAGTAAGAGTGTCGGAGCTCCACTCGGACCATCATCATAACTCGTTTTTTTTTAATCAAGTTCATTTCTGACGATTTGTGAACATAATTTATAATGTTTCAACATACCATTGCTCAACTGTCAGAAGTAAATTCGGAAGATATTTCGAATTATTAATAAATTAGTAATCCAAAAATGGAGAATAGAGTGAAGTCGTTAGAAATAACAGATACAATACATTACCATAATCCATGTAAAACTTTATATTTAAAAAAATACCCCAATGTGCCGAAAAATAATCGCACCGACTGGCATATAACTAGAGATTTACACGAAGCTGCCTACGCTGAAGTTTGCAATCATGTAGAAAAGCAAACACAATTATTGCAATATTTAAACGACTTTTATAACGAAATTTTGGAGAAATTACAAAATGACCAATTTGGCGGTAGTAGCGTGAAATACATGCCTCACCTACTTCTCGAAAAATTAGAAAAGTCTTATGCCGATAAAATTCAAGTTATTACAATACACAAAAGAAGTTATTGGACCTAGAGAAGGCTGCGTTATTGACGAAGAAACTTATTCGCGATTACAAGACGATGAATTGATAAAACGTGTTGGTCTTATTTTGCGGAAAAAAATTTTACATTTAGTTAAAAAACCATTACCAAGTAAATTAGATATCAGTGACTTATTAGCAGGAGAATGTGAAGTCCCTGCTTCTCCTTATGATTTTATAAAGCTTTTATTGTGTGGCGTTGATGCTAGAACGCAGAACAGTTCGGATCGTATTAGTAAAATAAAATCTATATCACAAGATATTATTTACTCTGTATTCAATGGTAAAGTCAAAACAGCTAAACACGTAACGTTAAGAATGACTCTGAAAAGCATTACAAGTAGCAGAAAAGTCATCAATCTTATAAACAAATTCGGCCATTGCTGTAGTTATAATGTAATTGAGGAGCTTGAGACAGAAGCTACTTTTTCTGAATGTAATAGTGTCAATATTTCTCCTGAAGGTGCAATACTTACACCGAACTTATGTACAGGTGTAGCGTTTGATAATTGTGATCGGTATGTTGAAACCTGCACCGGCAAAGACAGTTTGCATGAGACTGTAGGAATTTTATATCAAAATATTCAAACAGATGATGACTATACACCTCGTGGAAGTAATGATAATGTAGAACCACCAGTACATAAAAAAAGACGAACTTTCGATGCAATAATTCCTGAATTAAGCCAATACGTAAAAAAACCTTCATTTCGTGAAAAGCTTTTACCAATTAATAGTGAGTTGCGCGTAATAACGTCAGATAGGTATGATTTTTTCAAAAAATTAGATCTCGTGTGGGTTCTGTCACATTACTGTAAAATATCAGAAACACCAATGTGGGTCGGTTTTAACCACAAAATAACTGATTACCAAGGCATCAAACAAAAAATTTCGTATTTAACTCCGATAAATTTATCTCCGACAGATAAATCTGCTGTGCATGAAACAGTGATTCAAACTCAACAGATCGGTATCTAATGTGAACAGAACTACATGCAAGTGACGTACGATTTGGCTATTGAAAAAGTTGCTTTCGCAATCCAATCGACACGGAAAAACCCATTTTTAATAATATTTTCATCAACATGGGTGCTTTCCAGGTAATGATGTCATATGTCAAGGCTGTTTGAAAATTCATTGATGACTGCAGATTGACTCAATTAATGGTCGAAAGTAATCTTTTAGCTGGTGGTTCCGTGAATGGATTTATAAGCGGTAAACATTTCAATAGATGCAAACGATTGCATCCATTGGTATCTTTAGGCTTACAGGTCTTACGTGTAGAAAAGCTTTTGGAATAGAGGGAAATAGAGATTAGAAACAATATTATGCAATATTTAACGGAATTCCAATTGGGCAAGGTTTCCGACAATGAAATACGCAACAGAGAAATCTCCGATATTTTAGAACAGTACTCTGAATATAAACAACAGACACTTGCCGATGTTCACGCTCAATTTTATGTGATGTATATCGAATTTATTAATTATTACTTGATGTTCGATAGAAGTATTCGAGTTGGTTATTTCAGTGGCGGCTCGTGAGGTAGTGCCACGGTGCCATGGCACTACCTTGTCTTCTTCAAAAAGAATATTTTTTTCAATCTTCGATGTTTTACTTTATTTTCTGCTTTTTCATTTTTTTTGGTATAAATTATATGAAGTGACAATACTGACAACGTGACAACACCGCAAGCACCCGACCGACGCGACGCGACGAGATGGAAAGCATGCCTTGACCTTGACGTCATCAACTTGTGCCAATTTTGGGCTGGCCCAAATAAAAAGAGAGAAATTTTACCAGCATCGCATACGAGCGACAGAGATAACGCTAGGCTAGCAATTTTTATATGAGGTGAATAGCGAAAGACAAGTATAATTTGTGCCAGGCACATCATCACATCATCAGTCGTAATTGGTTATCAAATGATATCGGCGGTGTTTTTGTTCGGTCGGTCGTTTCGTTATGATTACGTCTAGTGCTGATTTCGGTCTTTTTTTACCTGAAAAGTGAGAAATAACGTTTTTGTTTTAGTACGTCTAGTGTTAATGAACTGCTCTGTTTTGTGATCATATTTTTTACTGTTTTATTAAAACTAGTGAAAATGAATAAAACTCATTTAGTGGTTTTTCGCTGGATCAAAAACTGCAAATTAAAGAATTAGGACGGCCAATACCCGATTTAAAAATTGAGAAACAAAGTGGTAGCGGACAAAAATCGCGCTCTCGCAAATTTAATAAAAATGTGTACGATAAAAACAGCTGGATATGTGGTTGTGAAGAAACGAATAAACTATTTTGTTTTGTATGTGTTCTATTTGGAGGTGACGAGACTTGGTCAAAAAAAGGTACAGACGATCTTATACATATATGGGATAAAATGAAGACCCACGAAAAATCTAAAGTCCATATGAATAATGTTTTTAGCTTTTCTATTCTTGGTAAATTAAATATAAGGACTCAACTCAATTCGGCTTATCGCAATAATCTAATTAAACATAATAATCAAGTGGATAAGAATCGATATGTATTGAATAAAATTATTAATTGTATAAGGTTTTGTGGAGCATTTGAGTTAGCCTTAAGGGGTCATGATGAAAAGGAAAATTAGGAAAACAGAGGCATATTTAAGGAGCTGGTGAATTTTAGCGCCGAATTAGACAACGAATTGAAAGTCCATATTCAAAGTGCCAAACTTTTTAAGGGTACCTCAAAAACAACTCAAAACGAGCTTCTTGAGTGCATGCTAGATGTTTATCATGAAGAAGTTAAGAAGGAGATTGCAAATTCTCCTTTTGTTGCAGTAATTGCCGATGAAACGACGGACGTAGCCTGTGAATTTCAGTTAGTTATTATTTTCAGATATTTGTGTAAAGGACAACCAGTTGAGAGATTTTGGAGATTTTACGTCCCCGACGGACACGATGCCAAATCAATCGCTGCATGCGTTTTAAATGTTGTAAATCCATTACTAGATCAAAATCCAAACAAATTAATAGCTCAAAGCTATGATGGTGCGTCTGTTATAAGTGGTGAATTGAATGGCATTCAAAAAATTATTAAGGAAACTTATCCACTTGCAAATTATGTTCATTGCTATGCACACCAGTTAAATCTAATTATGACAAGCGCATGCTCTGTCAATAAGCAGGCTAGAATATTTTTCCATAATTTATCTGGATTGTGCTCTTTTTTTTCGACGTCTCCTCAAAGAACAAAAATTTTGGATGAAATAGTTAATCGCAGATTGCCAAGATCTTCCCAAACACGTTGGAATTTTCAGTCACGAGGTGTTCATACAGTTTATGAAAATAGGAAAGACCTGATTGAAGTTATGGACAATATAGAAAGTACTTCATGCGATTCTTCGTCGATTAATCAAGCCAGTGGGTACAAATTAAAGCTGCAAGATACAAATTTTGTATTTTGGCTAAGTATTTTCCATAAAATAATGCCACATGTTGAAATTGTCTTTAACCAATTACAAAAAGTATGCACCGATTCTGTTAAGGTCAAAAATGATTTAGAGAATTTTGAAGCAGCAATTCAAACCATACGAGAACAAATGGATAGCATTATTGACGAGATTGAACGAGTGCAGAGAGAAACTGATGAACCGGCAAGAAAAAAAGGCAAGTTGAAGAAGGCAGCAAAAAACGGGAAGCGTTAGAAATATGCGATGCAGTATTATCGCAAATAAGAACAAAATTTAACTTTTCTGGGCATTTAGTTGCTTCTAATTTATTTGTGTCTGAAAAGTTTTCTGTTTATAAACATCAGTTTCCTGAAGCACATTTAAATGACACATGCTCACAATTTTCATTTTTAGACAAAAACAGGCTTAAAACTGAGTTACAAGTATTATATCAGAGAGAAGAATTGAGTACTACTTCTGGAGCTGTTCCACTATCCATTTTATTGAACGAGGAAGGATTAAATTGTACGTTTCAAGAAACTCTTAAGCTCTTAAGTATTTTAATCACTATACCGATGTCAACATCTGAAGCAGAACGCTCTTTTTCAATGCTGAAACGGATTAAAACTTTCCTCAGAAACACAATGAAGGAAGAAAGGCTTAGTGCTTTAGGAATGCTGTCTGCAGAAAAACATTTTGTTAGTGGCATTGAAAATTTTAATAATAAGGTAATCGAAAACTTTGCTACCAAAAAAGAAAGAAGAATGGACTTCATATATAGAAAACTTTGAAGTTATAGGTACTTCTCCACACTTGTTTTATAATTTGGTGCGCGTGTGTAAATAGTTTTATTTTAGATTTTTTTTGGACATATAGATTTATTGAACCTCAAGAACTTTGACCACTAACTATCAGGGGTAAGTTATTCTTTACAATTTTGAATCGATTCAAAGTTATGGCTTCCATTCTGGCACTACCTCATTGAATTGGCACGAGCCGCCACTGGGTTATTTTGATTTATACAACTTAATTATGCCCAAATTGTGTAATCTTTTTTTATTTTTAATCAGAATAATTACTCACGATGGCTGCTAGCATATCTAGATAAGTTATTGACTATTGAAGAAACTCATCCACAACTCGCGGCAGAGTACAAAAAAGGAATGTTCGCAATAAAAAGAACAGATCATAATTTCTCACGATTCCCTATAGATTTGACATTAGAGCAAACTGTAAATGTCGATGCAGCGAGAAGATTGACAGGCATTACACATTTTACAAATTCAATATCTGCTCGACAGCGATGGGCGAAAAGCCATAGCATAAGATCTACGATTGTTTCTCACGTTTATAATGAAAGTGACCTTAAAAGAGTTCAAGACACAACAGCCGCTTTAGAAAAACATAGGATTGTAAATGATTCCAAAAATTTAGATTCATTCATTGCAGTAGTTAAACAGAATATCAACCCATTTAATTATTTAGAAACGCAAGGATTTTTTTGTTTAATCTTTTGCAATTATCATGCTCCAAATATACACATAGCTTTTGATCGTTACTGTCGGCCGTCAATCAATGATTATGAGCGTTCGTTGTGAGGAGGTTTCGAGGCTGACTACGAATACCTCATATGTGGTCCGGAACAAACGCGCCCAACTGACTTTTCGAAAGAATTTCAAAATGACAAGTTCAAAGAAGCTCTGGTTGATTTTTTAATTGAACACTGGAAAAGTCAAGATTTTGCTACCTTTATTAACAACAAAACAATTGTCCTAAATTATTTATACTGCTATTCATACCAAGTGAACGCAGATGGTAATATCATGCGCAGGAAAAATACTGAATTTTGTTGCTCTCCACATGAAGAAGCTGATACTAAAATAATATATCATGTGTCTAAAATGGATTTAAACTCAAATATTGTTATCAAATGTTCTGATACAGAAATTGTTCTCATTTTGTTAGGTAACTTACATAAAATTAAATAAAAAGTTTGGATTGAATGTGGAATTACCGATAAGCGTCATGTTATTGATGTTAATGCGCTTCATAAATCCCTCGGTTCGTACTTGTGCAAAGCATTACCGGGATTTCACGCTTTAAATGGATGCGACCATAATCCCGCATTCTATAGGAAAGGAAAGCAACGTCCATATAAAGTGCTTTTGAAATCAAAAGAGTACCAAAATGCATTCGCTAATTTAGGAAATACCGGAGCAAATAAAGAAAATACTTTCTCGATCAATAAGTCATTTGTTTGTGATATGTACGGGGTTAAATCATGCTACAAAGTGAATCACCTCCGATGTGAATTGTTCCATCGAAATTATACAATAAAAAACGTAAATGAGCGTTTTCAAAAAAACAATTGAAAAATTTCGATGCTTCTTGCTTGCCACCTTGCTATGTTGAATTACGTCAACATATGGAGAGGACACATTTCATCGCAAATATATGGACAAACGCGACTTTGTTTCAGCTATGATTTCAAATGGTTTGAAGGACCACAATTGCCACCATCTGTCAAATACATTCTCACTGATAGTGAATCTTCGGAAGGTAATTTAGAATTTAATTTTGTCAATTTATAAACTAAACTTAATTACTAATTTGTACTTTTAGCTGACGCTGATGAAACCATATATAACAGCGACGATAACCTTGAATTTGATAACGATATGGAAAAGGATGGTTATGACACAGACTAATTTTACATTGCATGTTTGTTGAAATATTGATTAATTAGTATGTATTAATATTCGCTATTAATTGGCATAGGTATCTGGTTAGTAGTATTGTATTAGACGTACAAATAAAAAACATTTTCGTGTTATCATATAAAACAAACAATGTCGTCCGAATTGTTGAAATATTATAAATTATATTCACTAATCGTCAGAAGTGATCTTGATGGAAAAAAAATAAAATACAATTTATAATGGTGGTTCGAGTGGAGCTCCGACACTCTTACTATTGATAATATCCCCGTTATTTTTCCACCTAGCCTTCGGACGATTGATTTGCAAGTAATCTCAATTTTAATTATACAGTAAGTATGCAAAAAGTCAGATGTGTACCACCTAGTTACAAAATTGTTGCGAAAATTTCGCAACATTGGCGACTTCTGACGGCCCTTTATCTTCCGCCTAGGCTTCTGACAATTTTTTCCCTATTCTCTTATGCCATCTCCTATAATGGTGGTTAAAATCACTCATTGAATAAAATTAATCATATTTTTAAATTTTTTGAAATAATAATTGATTAATAATTCGAAATGTCTTCCGAATTTGCTTCTGACAGTTGAGCAATAGTATGTTGAAACATTATAAATTATGTTCACAAATCGTCAGAAATGAACTTGATTAAAAAAAAACTAGTTATGATGATGGTCCGACACTCTTACTGTTGATAATATCTCCGTTATTCTTCCACGCAGACTTCTGGCGATTTGAAATTAATTTCAATTTGGATTATAGAGTAAGTACGCAAAATGTCAGTGTACCTAGTGACAAAATTTTGGCGAAATTTTTTGCAACATTGGTGACTTCTGATGGCCCTTTATCTTCCGCCTAGGCTTCTGACAGTTTTTTTTCATACTTTCTAATACCATCTCTTATGCTGGTGCAAATTTTCAGCTCTGTACCTAATCAAAAAATTTTCATAAAAAAATTGCATGTTTAATTCCCTACCCTCACTTATTACTTCCAGGCTGATTTCTGACGGCCTGTCCCTTGCTATGTCGGTAACAGCCGAACCTGTAACTGACAAAATTCAGACTTTACCGAGTAACCCGTTGCCCTATGCAGCCAGCTCTTAGACTATAGCCAAAACAGTCACTACTAATTACTGTTGAACCGACGACAAATGGTATGAAATAGTCTGGATGCATGAATTCTTATTAAAACGTTGAACGCTAGCCCAAGAAACTCAAGAATATAAATATTTATTTCCATGCATTTTGCATCAGGTAAATCCAATGAATTAAGACTAGTGAAGGATATGTTTATTTTCCGATGCTCATTGAGGATCAAGGCGCACTTGACATAAGTCAATTTTTAGACAGTTCTGTGATTAAATTCGCATTTTTCGCGCTATTCTTTTAAAATGCGAGTGTTTGCAGATAATGGTGACGAGGAATTAAAGTATCATTATGTTGATACAACGCTGTCACTTCGGTAGGCATTGACAGTCAAATGACTTAAAAGTCTGCACTAAGCCGACGAAATTTCAGAGGTTAACAATACAATGTAACCACATAGGCCGGCCTCCTTCTAATCTACATATATTGGACAATCCTAATATCATTCTGGGGCCAAATCCTAAAAACTTCACAAAGGTATACAAAATTATGCTAGATATGCAAATTTTATGACCCAAACAGGTTCTTGGGAGGCCTGCGACATGGTCCCACCTGGGACCCATCTGCGGACGCCCATGTATATATCTTTTTATTGAACGAACAGAAACAGGCACACGTAAAATAACTGTGGGCAATCCATTTACTGCAGACAAATTGCCTCAAAAAAGCCCTTTCATAATACACCAACATGTACACTGTACTAATTGAGAGCAGTTACATAATTGCTCATTACATGTAATGCCAAGCAATACGCTAGGTGTTAAACGAAGCATATCCCAGCCATCCTTAACCGCCAGTCAAAAGGCACAAACAAGTGTGGCGCGGAGCAGTCTAAAAACACCACTTCAATTTGCACCCCTCTCTTCATTTTGTTAACGGAGCTTCCATACGTTTAATTAGTGCGAACGGTACGGGGCTCTGTAATTGTGTCGTCTTGTCAACTACACCAGGGAAAAAAGGAGCGACTGTAGTACGGAACAGGGAGCTGTCACACATCACCCGAAGTGTTTTATAATAACCATTTGAAAAGTCTTATTATTTCCAGGAAGAAAGCAATATGTATATCGTTTGACCGACAAATTTCGTTACATCCAACTTTGAGCTTATTAGATGGCGTACTTGATTCTGAATTGTTTGAAAACCAAATAACAATATGAAGCAAAATACAGTGAGGGGCATAACGCAGCAGCAGCTTGGATATTGATGTGTTGTAATGATAAGCATCAAACAGCAAAATAAAGGGCTTGTTATTTTTTTTTCACTTCGAATTTGAAAACAAGACTGTTGAACATATTATGGAGTGCACCCTCCAAATGAGTGCAACAAGCCTCTAATCTACATGCAAAAATCCTGGTTGAGAGGTGTTGGACTTGGAGATAGATGCATTTTTCACGCA